AAATGAAAATCATATTTCTCACAATGCAATTTATGATATTATTTATAGTATTCATGTATCTTTACCTACATTAGTATGAGCTTGGATATTATTTACAGCTTGGATATTATTTACATTATTTTAGTATAACGAGAGTGTTTGATAATTGCAGGATAGTCAGTGTGTTATAGTTATTAATTTTGCTAGATCGACATGTAATTGGTCACTATTTAATAATAGTTACATGTCATGCAGATTAGACATGTTTAGATACAATTACTTAAAATTATTTGATCATATAATCTTTATTATATTGTCCAAAAATAATATATTAATATGATGGAGAGATACTTACTTGTATATAAGATAACCAAATATATATATATATATATATATTTGTTAATTTATACCAAAATTTAGTTGATAAAAATATCTTCATATATTAAAAAAAACATATTTCAAACATAAAAATATTTTAATAATTTTATTTTTATTTTAAAATTAAAAATAAAATAAAATAAAAAATTATTAAAATACTTTTCATCTTAACACTTAAAATCGATAATATATAAAAATATTTTTTCTGTCTAAATTTTATTTAAGAAGTTACGAAAATTAACAAATCCGTATATATAAATATATATAAATATATATATATATATATATATATATATATATATATATATATATATTATAATAATATTATTATTATCATTGTTATTATAGAATTTAATGTAAATAATTTGTATACATTTTATTTATTTTGAAGATAGTTTTATAATTAAAAAATAATTAAGTTTAAAAGATGATTAAATTGAAAAAATATTAAATTTAAAGAAAATATTTTAACTTTACTTAAACAATGGACATCAAAAGAGAGAATTCTTATATATATATATATATATATATATATATTTATATATATATATATATATATATATATATATATGTATAAAATATGGAAGATAAATAATTAAAAAAATTACATATTAGAAACGTGTGTATTTTGGTGACATCTAAAGAAGTTAAAAAGGAAAAGAAAAGAAATCGAAATGCACGCGCTAAATCGGTCAGTGTGTCCCTTTGAAGGTTGACAGAAAAGATTGCAGCTTTCCAGAATACATGGGTTTGGAAAGTGACAAAAACCATAGCCATTAAATTTGGGAAATCGTTGAATCTCCACTTAATTTCTGGCAAACATAATACATCGACACATTCATCTTACAATGGAATCAAACCATTTCACTATATCTACACATCACTCCTTCTTTCAAAATTATTCTTTTTAATCTTTTCTTTTTATCAACATATAATTTATTTATTATATATATTTTTATCCTTTTCTATTCTAAGGTCCCAAAATAAATTTGACATGTCTACCGCTTTATTTTTCCATATAAACTTGAAAAGAAAAATAAAAGAAATAAAGTGAAAAAAAATACGCTACATAGTAAAGCAATGTATGATGAAAATGTAAATTTTAAAGGGATGAAAAATAAATAAAGGTTCTATTTAAAAGAAAAAGTTTTCGTCCTATTGAAACTAAAACATATTGAATCCTAAATAAAATGATTAGCAATCCTTTGACGCAAATTAACAAAAAAGTTAACAAAGTATAATAACAAAAGTCACCTAAATGTTGTTGTTTCAAAAGTTAAAATGCATTTCTATTGTCATTTATTATTAATAAATTACTTTTTCAAAATATTTTTCAATTTATATCTTTTAAGCTCTTTTTATTGTAGAAGCGAAGGAAAAAATAAAAAATAGTAGGCTTAATACCCTATTTTGTCTCCAATTTCGCTCGAGAATGTCAAATTAGTCCATCTTTTAAAAGCGTGTGTCAATTACGTCCTTACTTAATAAAATTTATATCAATGAAATTCCTTCCGTTAAATCCGTACAAACGGTCCGTTTGTACGGATTTAACGGAAGGAATTTCATTGATATAAATTTTATTAAGTAAGGACATAATTGACACACGCTTTTAAAAGATGGACTAATTTGACATTGTCGAGCGAAACTGAGGGCAAAATAGGGTATCAAGCCAAAATAGTATATGTGTTTTGACCTAAAAGGAAAGTAAATTGTTTGAGTAGAAAAAGTGTGGTTTTAACGTGTTATTAGTTTACAGGGCATAGGTGAGTATCAAAGTTACTAGCTACTAGAAAGAAGCCACTAATTATTTCTGAGGCATCTTTGATGACAGTGAAACTGAATGATTCTTCAGTGATAACAGTAACTGCTAAAAATAAATGAAAAAAAGAAGTTTTGTAAGGGACCACCACTATGAAATCTGATGCAAACCCATTAATTTGTGCCCTTGGTTGTGGGAGGGGTCCAAAATTTGGAGGTAAAAGAATGAAATCTTTCAACCATTGCCCTTCATCGTTGGTTCCTTTAATTAGTACGTGTTTGGTTGGCAGCTTCGGTCAATGGAATACCCTACAAAACTTCTCTTACACTTGAACAACAAACAAAAACCAAAAACACTATTTTCCACATTTCCATCCCTTCATATGCCTTAACCTGGTAATAAACTAGTGTTTTAGATTTTTCAGATCCTAAGACTGATATCGTTTGTGACTCTAATACCACAAAACATGCAACTTTGTTATGCTTTAAACAATAAGTTCACACTTTTTCACTAATTACTTATTCAATCGTCATCTTTACGTACAGATTTCACTAACTTTAACTATAAGAAGTATTGTATTTACCAAAAAAGAAAAGTCTTTTGTTTCAAGAATTCACAAAAACAAATTCCCAAAGTTTAAAGTACCTTAAGAAAGTGGCCTTATCTGAAATAAAAGTACCATGGAGTGCATTAAGATGATGATTTAAAAAAGCAATAGGTGTGAATGCGATGAAGTACTAAATCTTGTTTTGTTGAAAACAAGGAACCTCCATTAGTCTTATAACTTTACTTGTTCCTTAAATTCCTTTTTAAAAGTCAAGTTTATTTGAAAAAAAATATATTAATTATGACCTAATAATTTACTTTGACTTTTAACTTCACTAAATTTTCTTCACAAGATTATTCATAAGAACAGGTTCATGAATCACGCTAAACACCAAAAGATGTCATTTGACTCCTACTTTATGAAGAGTGTGAGGACGGGATTTCACTCTTCTAAGATGATAAATTCTTCTTGTTAAACAATACTAAACCAAATAACTTTTAAGTAAACTAATGACTCAACTAAATTTTGGAAGAAAATTTAGAGCAAACATAAAAAAAAAGACAACTAATATATGAAATTTTAATATTGAATTCTGTAAAATAAGTTTAGCCATTTCAAAAATTTCTTATTCAACCTAACTTTTTTTCACCTTTAGATAGCAAGTTCACTATATTTTCTCTCAAACATAAAATTGATAAAAAAAAACACATGCTAATGAACCACATGAAACAACAAAATATGTCAAGATCTCATCTACCTCACATTTACATTTATTTATTTATAAATAACTCAAAAGCATTTTCTTAAGAAATATTTTTTAAATATTATTGAATTATTATTTACTTTCTTTCATGATCAATATCACACCTTGTTTTTATCTCATTTTTAATCACTCATTTTTTTTACAATAATCTCCCGTGCATAAAAAAATGGGATTTTATTAACCAAGTAAAAGTAAAAACAAAGTGTATTAGTAGAATTTTTTTCATAATAGATCTATTTTAATTTTGTTTTGGTAAATGAACTCCCCTTACCAAATATTATTTATTATAACAGACTTGTTGGTTATTTATATTGTGAATTCAGTTTTTACTCCTTGAGATAACAACACTGATGACAAATGACAAAAGAATCAATTAAAATGTAATTTATGACGGATGAAATTCTTAAATATAATTAATGTTGTTATATTACTCTTTGAAATTTAAATGTGAATCTAAACATGAAAAAATTGAACATCTTATAAAATATTAAACTATAAATCTATTTTTTAAAATTTTGGATCGAAGTAGTATCAATCTTTATGTAGATCGGTCTTATATTTTATTGATATTATTTTTTCCCGATTGAATTCTCTTTTTAAAATACTTATTAATAGTATCAAAGTTAATGATTTATCTAGATGATAAGATATAATATGAATAAAAGAATCTTAGATATACAAATTTCTTATATATTAAAATTCTTTTCTTATGTATTTTATTTGTGTTGTTTTTTCTTGGTAAATTCTTTATTTGAAAGGCTAAGAGGAAATCTAGAATTTAGAATTTAGAGAGTAAAATTTTAACAAGATTTTCTAATTTTTTCCCAATAATGAATGAAATATAGGATAAAAAAATCAATATTAAAAGAAGTAAATTCTAACTAGTTTTCCAACATGATTAACTCTATTTCATCTTACCGAATAGATTCTGAATACTGAATTCTCAACCTAAATATTAAATAAATAAGGTTTAATGTCTCGGTAGGTCCCTATTTTCGGCGTGAATCTCAAATAGGTTCCTTTTCTTTTCGGCGTCTCAATTGGGTCCCCATTTTTGTAAAATTGTAACAATTAAAGGCTTACCGTTAAATTGGACAAACGGCCGTTTAATTGTTTATTAGGATCCACAGAATCATCAGGAACTTCAATGTCTTCATCTTCTCGTTCATCTAGCATGTCATCCCTGGAGTTCAGCAGAGCAATTCAGATAGAACCACCGTCAATAATCAGTCCAATGAAAATTCCAGAGAATTCTAATCCAGAAATAGAAGTGAAGCAACATGGCAACAAAGGCCCTCACTCCCTTGATTTCTATGACATTGTGAAAGATTCAATGCATAGAGATGTTCAAGGATTGTCTGTAAAAATTGTGGCTAAAGGGGAAAAGAAAGGTAGAATCTTGAAACACGTTGATTCTCCCAGGCCTTTGGAGCCCCCAAAACCTGTAAATATGGTTGCTTGGGATTCACCGAGACTCTCTTATGACGGGAGGGACACACAAGATTCATTAAAGTCTGCTAGAAAACCTAAGGAACTCCCAAGGCTTTCCTTGGACAGCAGAGAAGGANCAAGTTCAGGTCAATGCATTGATGTTATCAATTTATCATCTTTTTTAGAAATTCCTCCTTCTGAAGCATCTGGGCACATTTCAAATTCTTTCTACCCCAGAACAAAAGGTCTTTAATTTATTCTTTGTGGGAGGAGGATGGTGGTTAATCAGGCCTTGTGAACTCTGAAAAGTTGAAGGGTAGCCAAAAAATGTCTAAAAAGGTCTTCACAATGAAGGATGAAAATCCAGAATTGCAGAAGCAAATTGGGTGCATCAGTGGCTTTTTTCAGCTTTTTGACCGCCACAGGTTCCTCACAGCCCAACAAGGTAGCAGCCACAATCAGAACATACAAACTAAAGGTAATGTGATCTGCAACATATATGTTATTGCTATATATGCATTTTGATTTTGATGATGCTTTGGATAGTATTAATGTTAACTTGATAGTTTTTTTATTATGTGATATTCATAAACTTTACCTTAAATAAAGGACTAAATGACAATTTTTGGTTGACATTAATAAAAGGGACTAATTGTCAAAGTTTGATTGGCATGTATATTGAGTAAAATCTCTTTCTTTCAACATAAATTGGACTGGCCCTATCAACTTGCAATTTGTCAGTCATTTAATGTCACAGTTTTTTTCCCACTAGTTATTTTGTGTTCAGCTTTATGTTAAATTTTAATGGGATGAGAAGGGTGATAGCTAACTAACTTGTCATTGGTAAAAGTTCTTTCACTGCCTCTAGTAACAATATAAAACAAAGTTTTTGTTTTTCTTTGAAGTGGCTCCGAATTAAATCATGGATGCATTCTCCAAATTGAATCATTGTTTCAAGATAATGTAGAAACCATTTCCATTGTATATGAAACCTATTCTTCAGATGTTTAAATATTAAATGCTTTAGAATGTCAGTTTTCATTCTTTAGCAGTGCCTGGGATGCAGATATGTTTTTCTTTTAAAAAAATTGTACCTTACCATTCCCAGTAGTTATTTCACTTTCCTCATTTAATATAAGATGAGTGTTTGGTTGAAATAATTATGGAGAAATAAATTTCCTTTCAATGTGTCCGAAGAAGCTGGTAAAGCAAATAATTTTAACCAAATACAGACAAATGCAGACTTTATACATTTCCAGGTAGCACATGGTTCTGCAAAAATGTTTTCTCATTGTTACCATGCATAACCTTTGCAGCTAAAAAATGCATTACTGTAAGTAAGTACAGGTTCAGATTTTTCCATTAAAAAAATTAAGATTCCTTGTACGATAAATGTTCTTATATAACAATTCATGATTGCCTCCATATACTTATCTCAAATCCATGATAAATATAGATAAATTATTGTATAAAAATTTTGCTTGATTGTTTTTGGTACTGAGCATGATGGTTCATACATTTAAATTAGGTGTATTAAGCTAATAATTATCATTACATACGTAAATAAACTATTTATTATTTAACCGTGTGTTAATCTTTAACTTGTTACATTGAACTGTGATGATGATGCTACTTTCTTTAAAGACATACCTTTTGAACCTGGCAATATATATATATATATATCAGAAAGAATTTAAGAATGAAGACTTTGTTTGGATTAATGTTTTCACAAGATATTCATTCAAATTATTTCCCACTAAAAATTCTCTTCCTTTCTCAGGTGGAACAAGGAACCAGATGAAAGAGGTGAATAATACAACTCAAATGGCAATGGTAAGAAAAGTGGCTAAAAGTTTAAATCATGAGAGAAACAATAAACTTGATAGAAACAATTAAGAATGGAAGTTTGCTTTGCAGGGAAAGAATGTGAAGGTTGCAGGAGAGAATCAACAATTCTCCACAGAATCATCAGGAACTTCAATGTCTTCATCTTCTCGTTCATCTAGCATGTCATCCCTGGAGTTCAGCAGAGCAATTCAGATAGAACCACCATCAATAATCAGTCCAATGAAAATTCCAGAGAATTCTAATCCAGAAATAGAAGTGAAGCAACATGGCAACAAAGGCCCTCACTCCCTTGATTTCTATGACATTGTGAAAGATTCAATGCATAGAGATGTTCAAGGATTGTCTGTAAAAATTGTGGCTAAAGGGGAAAAGAAAGGTAGAATCTTGAAACACGTTGATTCTCCCAGGCCTTTGGAGCCCCCAAAACCTGTAAATATGGTTGCTTGGGATTCACCGAGACTCTCTTATGACGGGAGGGACACACAAGATTCATTAAAGTCTGCTAGAAAACCTAAGGAACTCCCAAGGCTTTCCTTGGACAGCAGAGAAGGATCCATCAAAAGCTTCAATGAAGGAACAAAATGTCGTGGCCTTCTGAAGGGTCTACAGAAAGGGTATGGTAGCTCTGGCACAATGTTTAAGCAGCTGCAGGAACCAGAAACTTCTAGAAGATCATCCAGTGTTGTAGCAAGGTTGATGGGACTAAAAACCTTCCCAGACTGTACAGAAGCCTGTGATACTCAACCACGGATCTATTCCAGCAAAAATGAGTCAGATGCAGAATCTTGCACAAATGAGAGTGCATCAATGAAAGGGTCTACCTTTCTTCAGTTTCGGAGGGATGCTTCAATCCTCAATGCGACACCCTATTCACGGTTTTCCCTAGAATCTGAAGCAAGCCAAGGTTCTCAAATACATGTTTCCAAGAGAAGTGACTCTTCAGTAAAAGCATCAAACCAATCGCTCTCTGTATATGGGGAGATTGAAAAGAGGATAGCAGATATAGAGTTCAAAAACTCTGGAAAGGATCTCAGAGCGCTTAAACAGATTCTTGATGCAATGCAGAGATATGGGTCCTGCGCCTAACTGAAAACACTGCCCATGCCACGTAATAAACAATTAAACGGCCGTTTGTCCAATTTGACGGTAGGTCTTTAATTGTTACAATTTTACAAAAATAGGGATCCAATTGAGACGCCCAAAAGAAAAGGGACCTATTTGAGATTCACGCCGAAAATAGGGACCTACCGAGACATTAAACCAATAAATAAAGGGCAGACAAGTTCATTTACGAATTTTTTTTCCGAATGGTTTTATCCAAAAAAAAAAGGTATATAGAAACTTAATAAAATTTTCCACTTTCTTTGAACACAATTGAATAGAAGTGGAAGGTGGTTGTAGCGTGGAAAGCAAGAGAATTAGGAACACAGTCCTTTCCTTTGGCCATTCCACCACTCACTAAACACATACACTATAACCAGAGTACTTCTTTCCACTCACTACACACGTGTCATCCTATCATTTCACTTTTCCACCCTTTCACTATCTGCAATGAATTAGATAACTAAAATAATTTATTTCACACAAATAAATATTTTCTCATCCAAATAAAACTTTTACATCAGTTTCCTCATTTTTTATAATAACTAATAGCTAAGGATCATACAAGCAGAAACTTGTTTTGATTTGATGTTTTTTCCACTCTGGCATGATCAAAAGAGAAATTTATATTTTTATTAACTTTTTGAAATATTTGAATCCTTACATTTTAGTATGTTTTTACTCTCATACAAGATCAGTTAATTAAACAGAGTGTATGAGCTAGTATTGTGTGCAGTGGGAATGGGAAGAGGACTCGAACAATGATGAAAATTATGAAAGTGTTATTTGGGCAGATTTGCATTATTTGACCGATAAACGTGAAAGTAACCGAAGGCGAGGTCATTATCATATAGTAGTGGAAAGATATGCACTACTTTCCTATCAGTCTGCACTTTCTCTTTTGCATTAGAGTTGAAAAACAATAATAGCTCTATGACTTCAAAAATCACCATCTAACTTTGTGGTATAGCCACGTTAAGATAATGCATGCATTCCTAGAGGCCTTCTACAGAGATTACATTTTGCAGAATCATCCTGCTCACTGTATTTCTCACCACACACACATCAATAGTTTTATCATCTTTTTTCTTGTTAATGCACTTTTGAAGGAAACTTCATGCATTTTGCCAATATACAGGGTATGGTAGGTGATTCGAAATTCAATATAAGAAGTATGGTGACTTTTAAGGTAAAAAAAAGTTCAGAAAAAAGTGTGTTCTGGCTTCTGGTTTGTTCATTTGTTGGTGCCAATGAAGTAAATGGCTTGTCGGTGATTCATAATTTGATCCAAAGACTTGAACATAATTCAGAACACACTTCAACCAATCAGTTCATGTAAGCAAATTCGTTCCAAGTAGGAGAAAATGTTGGCGTTATTAGCAGTGATGTGCTCAATTTTTGATCACTCACACACAAATAATGCAGCAGAGGTGGAGAATATTGAAAATAGTGATTTTCTCAGGTGTTATCAACACATGGAAATCTGGTGAGTTTCCTGCTGCGAAATACACTTTTTTCTTATTCATTGATAGTGATTTTTTACTTAGAAATTTGTTCTTAGGGTAGATATGCAGTAACTGACAAATGACACATCGAATCTGCTTCCCCTTCCATCTATCTGTCATCACATCCAACATTTCATTCCATCAATCTGCTTACAATTTTATAATATTTCACAGTTGACAATAATAAACTAATAATTGAAAAGTGATAAACTTTTACCTTTTAAAAGTCAACCCAAAATTTGTGTATGCATTGTGTTCTTTCTCTGCAAAAATTTAGTATCAAGGGTGGGTTTTGGCGCAATAGTAAGGAAATGTTCGACTTCTGGAAAGGGTCCTTTTACTTATTTACCTCCATCTGACATCATTACGTGGAAGCTTCATGCACTACACGCATCTACCCTTTATAAAAGCTTCAGTACTGTAAGTACTTTAAGAGATATAAGTTCATGCTTTGCATTCTACATTTCTAGTCGCTTGAAAGTAGAACAGCTATAATGGGTGGAGCACCTACAAAGGAATCTAGGGCTCTGTTTGATATATCTATCATAGTATTTGTTCCCCCATGTTCTACGGTGTAAACTTATTGGGCAGTAAGTTATGTAACTCATATGATTCAAACCTATTAGTCGCTCCTCAGATTGAGAGCTCGTCTGTGTTTATTGCCAAAAATCATCACCTTACCACAAAATAATATTTGGCAACAAGTATCTTGGATATTTAAAATCACAATTTTGCCTCGATGATACATTCTTATATGTTTGACTACAAATACAAACATGCCCTTATTGAGTGGGAGACCTTTGTGTGAATCATGGCCTAAGTACTGTATTGAGATTCCACCTTTGTGTGAATCATGGCATATCATAAATACGGGAATGAATCAAATTGATGATAAACCATAACAGAGCACTTCTGTGAACAAGCATATATATGTTTATACTATTATGTATACTGTTGCAGTGAAGTTGATCATCACATTTGATTTGAATTTATTACAGGCATCACGATTTTTCTGCGTTAACAACTTTTGGTTAGACCCAAGGGTTTATTCAGGAGCAAAGTGCAAAGCCTGACATTTTTTCATAGTACAAAGTTTAATCACACTTCTCTGTGACATGTGTTCTCGTGACATGCGCTGTACCTCTAAACTTTACCAAGTTTTGAAATGGCTCCATTGTGCTTTTGTGTATTTGGCCATCTGATTTTGGTAGTTTGATGACACCTTGAGATGCCTGACTTTAGAAGATAAATTGCAACTCGTTGATTTGGAAATTGGCGCTTTTCATACGGCCATATATCATGTGAAATGTGTTTATTTCCTTTCTTAAATATACAGAATTGTTATATATATATATATATATATATATATATATGATTCCACCCGTTTAATTTGTATGGATAAAAAACTTTAATATGTTATGATTATGCGAAATTTTGAGAGGATCCATTCTCGCATAACGTATGAAGGATAGATATGATAATAAGAGAAACTGCCTTCTCTATTACATCAGATCTTGAAGTTTCACTTCTAACGCACTGAGAACAATATGATCACAAGACAATTTCACATTGTATAGTGAAATAAGGCATAAAGTTTATTATACTGCCAATAAGATGGCAAAGAACCCCCCACAGTAATTCTTAAGGAATTCATAGTTGACATGATTCATGGACAGTGCCCAACTTCTCCCATTGTAAAAGAACAACTTTTATGTTACAATTATTAGTATATTATTGTTTTCTCAAAGCAACTAGTATATCAATATATAAAAGCATTTATAAGCATTAATCATCTAATTGCTTAAAGTTCTTTGAAGCACTGCACGATGGCGATTACGAACTACACAAATCTTATTGAACTATTTAGCACAAACACAACCAATATAGTGTACCTAGCTCTTTATGTGAGTCTCATACACCAACTGTGCAGCGATCATATCTACAACAGCAGAACCAACAGACTTGAACACAGTTATGTGGTCAGAATTGGTTCTCCCAATCTTGTCACCTCTCACAAGCTCCACCAAACACCCTCCAATCTCATCTTTCTTGATGACCCCTCTCTCAAAAGCCCCCACCAGTTCCCCTGCTTCAACTATCGCGGCCTCATTGTCAACGAACACCCTTCCCCTCCTTATGGCTTCGTCATCACACTCCATCATCGAAGGCTTGAAGGAACCCACCAAATCCAAATGAGCCCCAGCCTTCAACCTCTCCCCCTTTACAAGGGGTTTCTCGGAATTCGTCGCACAACTCACAATGTCCCCCAATCCGACAACCTCGTCCAAACACCCACAACCCTCAAAACTCACCCCAGCAAACTCCCCACTTTCCTTAAGTTTGTCGGCCAAAGTGGTTGCCTTTTCCACAGTTCTGTTCCAGATGAAGACTTTTCTCAAACTGGGTACGGCGGAAAGATGGGCTTTAATCAAGTGCGGTGCCAGGGCACCCGCGCCAACCAGAACCAGAACCTCGCTGTCCTGTCTGGCTAGGTATTTGGAAGCCAAGCCAGACACGCATGAGGTTCGGTAAAGGGTGAGTTTGGTGGAATCCATGGAAGCTAGTGTTTGGCCAGTGGTGGAACTGAAAAGGACATAGCTTCCCTGCACGCCGGGTAAATTGAGAGCGGAGTTTTGCGGAAAATGGGTGACAAGTTTGACGCCGACGTAAGGGAGAGACGGGGAAGAGGACCAACAGGGCATGAGGAGAAGGGAGGAAGAAGAAGAGAGAGGGTAGTGTTGGCGAATTGTGGTTTGGAGAATGGCTGAGGCTTGAGGGAGTGTTGATCGGAAATGGTTTATCAGAGTTTGGTGGGTGAGGATACTGCATAAGCTATCTGCGGATATGAAGATAGGAGAAGAAGATGCATTGGGGCTGCTGGTTTCGTCTTTGTTGGTGGCAGCCATTGAAGAAGTTGTTAGGAGACAAGTGTTCAGGACCAGTAAGGGTTTCTATGATTGAGTTTGGAACCTAGGACACTTTCCCAGAATCTACCTAGGTCAACTTAAACAATAAAAAAATAATGAAATGTCATAACAAATAATTTTTTATCCTCTAGAATTAAATTATCTTTTTATCCATTTATAGAAATATATCGTGCCTTTTGCTTTTACAAACAAATTTTTAATGGGTTATAGGTAGGTCTAACCCATTTTCACAAATCAACAGGCAATGATTTAAATTTGAAAGAAAAAATCATTAACTTAATAATAACAATAAATTATAAATAACATAATTTTTCTTTTGATTTGCTTACGTAAATGGCAAGAAAATGTTAAAAACTTTGAAGATTTATTTATTTTTATAATGTGGATTTAATAACATTTTTAATCTATTATATAATTATAATCTTTTTAATTTCATACCACTATTTTAAATGCTTTTAATTTAATTTTATTATTTTAAAAATCGAGTAAGTTTAATTGCTTTCTTCTAATTCATAATATGATAATAGAACATTAGCTACTCATATCATTATATGACATTTATGTTGTTAAGTCAATTTTAATTATAATATTTCATTAATTGTTACAGTGTTATTCTTGTTAATGTGATAAAAAAAGTTACATTGATTTATTTAAAAAAAAGAGTACAACTAAATTAGAAAAGTTCAAAATAATGGAATGAAATTGGAAAAAAAAAACTTATCATAATAGTAAACAAAAGGCTAGTAAACACGTAAAATATAGATAAAAATTGTTTTTTACATACTTTAAAATATTTATTTTAAACTGGAAAACACTCGAAGAAAATTTAATAGATCTATCTTTCTATGGGTCATAGGTAGGCCTAATATGACTTTTTGTCTGTTTCATTTTACATCCCGATACCTCATCTTACATCTCCAAAAATTTAATTTTAATTTTAATAAATATCTCAACACTTTAATAATATTCTAATTTAATTTAAAATTCAAATATTATTTATATTTTTTTATATTTTAATAATTATTAAAATATAATTTATATTATAATAATTATTATATTAAAAAGTAAAAATAAAATAATTAAAATAATAAATAATAAATAAAATAGTAATAACAATTTTAAAAAACTTGTTTATATTAAAATATTAAAATAAATTAAATAATTAAAAACTAAAAACTAAAAATTAAAAATTTAAAAAACTTGTTTATATCCGCAAAACATGCTAACAGTTTTGTTTTTTATTTAAAGTTTAATAAATATTTAATTTAATTTAAAATTATAATATTATTTATTATATTTTTACATTTTAATAATTATTAAATTATGATTTATATTTTTATAATAGTTTTATTAAAAAAATTAAAATAACAATAAATAAAATAAAAGTAATAATAATAAGAATAAAAATAATATTTAAAATCACATATTTAAATTTATTAAATTACATTAAAATATTAAATTAAATTAAATAATTATTTAAATTTAAAAAAACAAAATTTTAAATAAATTTATTAATCGAATATCTGTTAACTTAGGGTACGGATATGAATATCCGATAAATAATTGTTTTTAAATTTTAATAATTATTTAATGTAATTTAAAATTTTAATATAATTTAATATATTTAAATATTTTAAAATTAATTTTTTTTATTTTTTATTTATTATTTTTATGTTTATTTTTTTAATATAATTATTATATAATAAAAATTGTATTTTAATAATTATTAAGATATAAATATATATTAAATAATGTTAAATATTAAATTAAATTATTATTAAGAGTGGAGAATGACTTTAATAAGAAAGAGAAAAAGTGTTTATTAAGGTGAAAAATGAATTTATTTTAAAAACTTGAAGGTATAAAATGAGAGGTTGAAGGTATAAGATGAAATATCCTCTCACTTTTGTAAGAAGGAACAATGATGAATCAAAATAGGCTTTTACTTTCTGCACTCCATTATTGTTTTGTTTACACTTCTCAAATTTTCAAAATAATCACTTTACCCTTTACACAAGTAACTTTTGGATCACATGTATCCTAAATTTTTTAGAACAAGTTTTCAAACATTTTTGGAACGTAATGAAATTTTTGGAACAAAATTATTAAAAGACATGAAATGCATTTTGAAATAAGTTGTCTTAAATGAAATTTTAAAGGTTTTTCCAAAATGCATATATATAATATATTTAAAACGAGTTTTTCGAAACATTCTTACATGATGTGGTCTGAAAATAATTCATGAAACACGTTAAATATGTTTTGGAAAGAGTAGTTAAAAACAAGTTTTTTCCGTAATTTCTTTCTTATTCTTTTTTAATAGTGATTTTTCTCTTTTCTTTGTCATTAATGGTGGTGATCATGGAAGCAATGAGAATGACACCAACAATGGTGGTATAGCACAATGGTAAAAGGTGTTTGAATCTTTTCCTATTATTGTGGAGTTGCGGTTGATAATTTTGGGGTACTAGCCTTGAAATTCTGAGTGCTTAAGGTGAAATCTAAAAGTTGTCCATTCATTTAACAAAAACAAAATAAAAACATTCAAGGAAGTGAATTGATGTAATGTACAACTAGAGATGACCAAAAGATATGTGTATGCAGATATCTTGCAAATAAAATTAATGACCGATAGTTAGTATTTAGAGCGAGCAGCAGATATTTTAATATTCACTTATAAATAAATAGGGTACGAGTATTATACTATTTAACATGCGAGTACACTTAAAAAATTAAAAATAAGAATTTAATATTTTATTTAATTAAATTTAATTTAAAATAAAATTAATTTATATTTTTAAGATTAAATTTAATTAAAATTAAATTTTGTTTATATTTTATTTCATTTATATTAAATTTTATATATTTTTTATAATTTATTTAAATTTTAATTATAAAATGTATAAAATATATATTTTTTAATATTTTTTATAATTAAAATTAAATTGTTTTAAAAATAGATATCCATTCATATAACAGACGAATTGTAGATAAAAAAAAATTATTTTAAGATGAAGTTGCAAGTATTTGAAGTAAAAAAATATGACAAAGACAAGACAATAATGTTACCAGGATTTTTCTTTACGTAATCTATTGTCCAGTTTATAATACTGCTTGACCTTTAACTTTTACTAATTATATAAATATTTTATTAACTTTTAAGGGTCTGGTCACTTTATATCTTTAACTGGTAAATTATTTTACAAATATGTTTTTGTCCTGGCTGTAGATAAACTCATTGTCCTTCTACTGAGATATTTGTTGGCAGAAAGAAAAAAATTAAACATGAAATATTACTGATATTAGGATATAATGTTGGATTGGGACTTTAAATCGTAGACTTATTTTTAAAATATATCATCAGCAACTTTTTTATATATTTTTTATCATCATGTTGAATTATTTTTTATGTATATAGGTACTTATTTTTATAAAAAAAATATATTTTCACATATATAATTCTTTTTATATTTATTTGATATTATTTTTATTTTATATTGTATTATTTTATACTTTTTGAAAGTTAAAAATTTATTTTTTTATAATTATTTTATTCCTATAATATTTGTGAAATGAATGTAAATCTTTTTCTTACTCTTTATATATTCTTAGATGTTTGAATTGATACACGAACAACTAAATTCAGTATTGATGAATAATAGTGCACATTTCCCGTTGAACTGAATTTCCCATGAAAAAAAGGTTCTGGTAGAAACAGAAAAGAAGTAAAGTGTTCTAAGGAGAAAAAGTGAAGTGGAGAATGAAATTAAAGCACTTTATTTTCCACTTCTTTGACGTCCTTTTGTACTGTGCTTAACCACATTTAATTTCTTTTTTTATATCTGAAAATTTCAACAATTATCTTCATTCAAGTTCTCTCCTGCACAAATGAAACGGTGTCGCTATGTGAATGACTTCAATTTTACAGATTATGCTATGATTACTATCTGGTTGATCAGCTCAAACTATTGTTTAGTTCTGGTTTGAGTATGAAATAAGAAATAATTATGCTTTCACGGTAAGTTAATGATTTATAATCTCACTTTTAACTAAATGATGCAACTTTCGGCAACAAAAAGAAGAAGAAAAGAGATCAAAGCATTTGAACGTTCAACTCAGAATATTATTGTAAAAAATATATTGTTCATAGTTATTATCTGGTTGATTTGGTATTTAAAACCTAATTAAAAGCAAGTGTCTTGAACGTGCTACTGCCACTTACATACAAGAAAATCTCGGAAATTCTGCGGTTTGATGTGTGTGACAAAAGAAACAAAATACAAAGCATGCATGCATAAAAATAGCAATGGAAGGAAGCAGCCAAAGAGAAGAGACAAAAAGAAGAAAAAAAAGTAAAGTTGCTACAATTATTTGATATAGTATGTACTAATTAAATGCCTACCAAGGCATCAATCTTAGAGGAAATGCTCCAACTGGTGCTGGAAAGACTCCACTGATCAGAAATCATACCTGCAGCCGAAGCATCCCCACATTTTGCTACCATCCTTACACTCTCTAGCAACTCCTTCGTGCGAGCCTCTTGTGCCAAAATATCAAGCAACTGTTCTGGGGTGATCACCAGCTTCACTTTCCAAAACCTACTGCTACCACCAACACCACCATTAATGTTGCAGCTACTATTACCACTGCTTCTGCCAGAGAAGGCTTCGATGGAGGATCTCTTCAGCAACCCCATTCCCTGGTGGTGGTGTTGGTAGTCCAAGGACATTCTATACAAGGCAGGGCAGGAGGTTGTAGGGACACTGTGAGATCTGACATGCCCTTGTCTCACAACGTTTACATTTTCACCAACACCACATGGGATGTCTATGTTGTTGTTGTTGGTGGTGTTGGTGTTGGTGTTGGTGAGTGGTAGAAGATAGTAAGACTGACCTGCCTCCAACTCTTCGAATTGGCTGAGTGGTTTCCAAAAGAGGTCGTGGCTTCTGAATATGGCATGCCCTGGGAACTCGTTGGTGATGAAACTGACGGTTACCGGAGCACTGAATTCCATGATTCCACCGTTTGATGTTATGACTTTGATTGCTGCATGAGGATCTGACATGGCCCCAAAGAAGCAGTTTCCCATGTTGGACTTCAAACCTATATGATGATATATAGAGTTGTATATATTGGTGATGTTGTTTTGCTATGAATGGTGGGTAGTGCCTAGTATACCTTCGAGGGAATTGTAGAGCGGGAAACTTGTTCGGGAGAAAAGTTAAGGTTGTCATGTGGTCGGTTAGATTCTTCGTCTGAGCTTTGACAAAAAGCTTGTAAAGAACAGTATTAAAGAAATAAAGGGTAGTCTATGCTCCCATCATCATTATGATATTTTTGTAAAGGATTTGTATATGGCATAATTTTATGCAATATTAATAATGTTTATACGGTATAGAAATAATAAAATATCCAAAGGTACAATATGTGTGTGAAGGCGAAAATAGGAAATATGGGTTTATACCATTTCTACGGGGTTTACTTGGTCAAGTTAAGCAGCATATGTTACTTTTCACAAAAGAGGAAAAATGATGTTGGAAATCAATTTTGGTCCCACTAGGCTCGGCCCAAGAGAAAGAAAGCAAAAGCACCAGTTCCTTCCTGCCACTTGGCCCACTTCACTGGCCTTTTTCTTTTTCTTTTTGGATATTTGTCGTGCGATATTGAAGGTGCCAAAGCCAGTTTTTGAGTTGCGAAGATTATGGAATGAAATTACTTACTGCAACAAGAGTAGACACTTAATTTCTGGTCTCATGCATTAAAAAGACTTAGAACTCTACACTTCAAACGATTGCGTAAGAACAAGTATATAAAATTGTTAGTGGAGATTTAATTTCTTTTAAGTTAAATTTAGTTTATATAGTAGGGAGGATTATTAGAGCAGGGTAGTCTTTATCCCCCAATTACATTATGAGATTCACCTTTTTTTTTATTGTTTTTCTTTAAGATCAGAGTCAAGGGTAGTTGTTGTTGGTGATTAAAGAGTGCACAAAATTGCTTTATATCATTTGTATATGCATAAAGTAATACTATACGTGTGTAAGAAAGATAAATTTGTTAGCGCTATCTTGCGAACGTGTAAAACATTAAAACATATTTTTTATTTTTTTTAGAAATAGAAATTTAGACTCGATTTCATTCGGAGATGTAAAACTAATAATAAGACATGAATATAATTCATAACAAGAAATTAATTTCTCTAACTCAAAATCTTAATAATGAGACATGAATATAATTCATAATAAAAAAATAATAATTTCTCTAACTCAAAATCTTAAAAGAATAGATTCGCGTAGTCAATTTTTTTTATTTGTATTCAACATAATACTTAGACTCTTGCATAACTCTAATGAAGAAGTGTGCGTTGCTTATGCTGTTTATTTTCTTTCATAGATCACACAACTACCTAATTAAAGTATTAATATGTGTGTTGGTTTCTTTAATTCACTTCCTTCTATTTTGTTTGACCACTGTTACATCATTTGTCCTCTCTCTTAGCTGTTTCTCCATCTTTCCTATTTAATATCTTGGGAGTTTATTAAGCCAATCCAAACCAGATTATGTGGCCTTCAACATCTCATAATACCAGCTTAATTAACATTGATGAGAATCTTTTCAATTGGAGCATTTAAATAAATCGTGCATTAACCTAGACAGATCCAATTAATCTGACTCTTGTCTTGTATTGATTATTGTAGGAGTCAACAAGTTGTAAGCAAAGATGATACTGATGGAGACGTCTGGTGAATGAATATATACTTAAAAAGGTGTAATGCTTATGCATCAAATAAACTAATCTCTCTCTTTCTCCTCGTTATTCAGTTTGCTTTCACATGTATAAATAAACACTCATTCTTTATATACCTGCATGTGATCTTTCTTGCGTACTGATGAAGGTCCCCGTATTCACCAATTAAGCCATACAACTTGCATTTAGTTATGCAAAATTATTTACATTCAAAATTCAGTTTTATATTTTAATTTTTGTGGTGAAGATTCCAAAGAAAATACATATATAATTAAAAAGTAATATCCAAATAGATGGTTAATATGTTTTCTAGAGATAAGTGTTAGAAGTGGATTTTAAACCTAATTCAACCCAACAAAACCAGCTTGTAGGATGAGGTTTGCACCCACTTATAAATTATGAATTGACTTTATCTCTAATTGAGGTGGAACTTCCAACAATAAGATTAAGAAAAACATATAAACCTTACATTATACATACTGATTAACATGCTAACAAAAATTATGAGAATAATTCTAAAAAAGAATATTATTTATTGGATCTATCATATGTTAATTGATGGATGTGAAATCTTTAAGATACATGAGAGTTAAGATTGCATTATTAAAGTAGTGTGTTTTGTATTTTATTGTAAAGAAACTTGAGATAAAATAATTCAACGATTGGAAGTGGAATATTCAGATGAAGGAGACCATGTTCGTCTTTGCACGTCAAGGTGTTTCCACTCACTAACTACTCTTCATGAATCTTAATTAACTATGAAATATCCGTTACAGTCAGAAATGAAATTCAGAAGATAGTCATTTGATAAATAAATTAGGAAAATATAATGATTTTTTTTATATAAATGCAAACATAATAGTCTTCGGAGAAAACACTTTTTTTCCTAGTTATCTTTTATTCTAAAATATATTATTTGCTGTAAACACTATTAATTCAAATAATTCAAGACAACAAAAATAATAAATAATGAATCCAACTCAATTCTAATGGTAAGTTTTTAAAGGAAGATGATTGATAAGATTGTGAGATTAATTAATAAACTTTTTTAATTGGTCAACTTTGTTTTATAGCGAAAGCATAAAGAGACAGCTGTTAGTGAAGATCCAAATCATTTTGAATATACTCTGTCATGTGATTAAAATTTACGAGTAATGATGAATTTATCTGCAATTGGGGAGAATTTGAGTTAAAGAAGATAAACGAGAAAAAAAAAGAGTGAAGGTGAAGAAAACAATGAATAGAAGGTTGAGAAAAAACAAAGTGATGGGTATAGCCCAATAACTTCTGTGATAAAATAATAAAGTAAGAAAAAGAAGAAAATGAAATCCAAATGAGATGGAAGAGGAACATAATATATAAACAGTTCTATAAACAAGACTAAAGAATATAAAATTAATTATCTCTATTTTAATAAAAAGAAAATGTTCTGGAAACTATTTTGCTGAATTGTTTCTAGACTTTTTTTTATCGTCAGCTAATATTTTAAATTTTCAGGAATTAATTTATTTTTAAAACAAAAAAGTATGATATATTCCTAAACTTTTACAATAGTATTTTTACATTCTTAATTAAAATAAAAATCAATAAAAAATAATTTTTAGTATTTTTTATTAATCTTTACTGTAATTACATTAAAATCATTGTGGACTATACATTTTGAATTAGTTGACAATGTCAAATTTTTACAGTAATATTATTTTGATATTAAACTTATCATTTATTTTAAAATTTGATACCAATAATTATTAAATTTTTCCCATTAGTATAAATATTTTATTTTAATAATATTAAAATTATTTTCATTTAATTTTTTAGTTTAAATCACTATAAAAAATTTATTAAATAATAATTAATTTAAAAACAAAAAATAATTAATTATTTTATTGATTAATTTAAGCACTGTTTTATAAAATAAAAGTCATATAAAATAGTTTCTATCATTAATAAAAGTTTATAATTGATTTACAAATCAAAGCTTAAGTTGGTCTATAATATGAATTACTAAAGTTTTAACTATTTAGTAAATAATTAAAATATTAGTAATTACACCATTATTACTGGATCTCTTCTTCTCTAAAGAAATTACAAACAGCAATGGAAGGTGATATTCAAATACACACCATTACAACTTGGAACAACATGTACTTTTGTAAGTTTATTTTGTATTGAGTTCGCATGATGTTCTGAAATGAACTTAGCAAATGACACACGCATTAGGATTCTCTTCAACGTAACTGGTGTAATGATAATGATTATGGTAGGTTTCGTAGGTCTTCAAAATATCAGCAATATTCTGAGTTTGATCTATATTCTTCTTCTCCGGCGGCTCCTTCTCTTTTTTATTTTCCTTTTTCTCTACCATGGCGGGTCCATAAGAGAGTATCTCGGTGTAACACAGCTTCCTCAGCTTCTCCACTACAACCACAGCGTCCATGTCTCCAATTAAGGTTAATTTCTGCTCCTTCATCTCCATTGACACTGATTCAACTCCTGCAATAATAATAATAATAATAATTAATCACCTTCAAATTATTATATAAAACAAAAGCTTTTTGTAAGTTAAAGAAATTAAGATTGGTACCTGAAATTTTGGAGACTGCCTTCATGGCTTTTTTCTTAGTTTTGTCATCCAGCAGTTCCACCTGTAGCACAACTTTCTGCGATGGAGTGAAGAACAGAAAACTGTTATATATGACTTGGTCACTTTTTTATGAATGAAAATATTATGAAACGAGATCTCGTAGTATGAATCTCAAAGAGTAAACATGATGAAACAAATTCTCACATTCATTGACGCAGCCTTGAAGGTTGAGGAAAGCTAAACAAGTGTGTTGGAGTGAAGTAACTAGAACAACCTGATTGAACATATTTAAAGAAAAAATCAACACAAAGAGAGAGGGAAAGTCAAACACGTATATCATGATTAACTGTAATAATTCACCATTTACGATGCCTCGTTATGAGTTAGATCAGTTTTTAATTGAATCAGAGTAAATAAATATGGATTATAGAGTAAATAAATAGCATTGAATGAGTTAGATGAATGAATATCTTTTATAATTTTGCTTGCTTTAGTTTCTGTAAAAGTTACATGATTTCTTTATAGCATCAAATTTAAAAATAACTTTTGTGATAAAAAAAAAATTGATGGAGCAAAAACTTTGATTTTAAATTAAAGTTATTTCTTTATGTTAAGATATGTCAAATATTCTATTAAAGGATATTAGGCAATCAAATATTATGTTAGTTATAATTTAGATATTATTATAATTTGTGCAGATTTATGCACCTGTCATTCCTTTAATAGATGAAGGATTATAGGATCCTTAAATGTATATATATGGTACTCTACTCTTTGAAATAATATATCAGAATTATTCTTTAAACCTTTTAATATGGTATCAAGAGCCAACACTGATATCCTCTAAGATATAGGAATCAGTGCCTTTTTTCATTGAATATTTCTGATGGCTTCTTCCGATGACAATCAAT